CATTACCTAATGCCTGACCATTGTGGACCTGGTCTACCCTCCTCTGTATATATATACACCCTGGTTTGTATTTCTCTTTAGTCTGTACTCACCCTGAAGATGTGAATTACACGAAAAGTCTGTTCATACCACCCCTGAAGATGTGAATTACACAAAAGGGCTTGGGAACTTCATGTTTTCTTTTCCTTGTGGTTATCAGCATATACCTACTGTAGATCACGCGCACCTACAGTGATTTACTTGCATATATATATATATATATATATATATATATATATATATATATATATATATATATATATATATATATATATATATATATATATATATATATATATATATATATATATATATATATTTATATATATATATATATATATATATATATATATATATATATATATATATATATATATATATATATATATATATATATATATATCATGGTTCTGGGTGCAATGGTGGTATATGAGTGGATTATATAATATAAAGATAATAATATGTCGTATTTCTTATTTTTACCGTAGAGTTCGACACCTTCACACTGATTACTTACAGGAGATTATGGCGTATCTACGTAGAAGTTCACTCCACCACTCGACATTCCATGATTTATACTTGATAAATGATGATTTAATGAATTCATTTAATTTTCAACATCCTTCTAAGTTATTATTTGTCATAACCAATCAGTCATTACCTTTAGTAATAATAAGATAGGATCACAGATACTGGCAGATAATTGCACTTACATTTATTTGTCAAGCTTCCATACAATGATTTACAATTTCCATGGAGTTATGATTCACTCTCGTTCAGGCTGTAATAAAATTAATCTTCTAAAACAGAGAATTTCCAACTTAGACATGTGATTACTCTCTACTGTGGGTATGGCTTAACAGAGCCTTAATTCTTCAAGTGATACATTTACTGCCAGCCTGGATTGCTTTGTTACAACCAGGCTTCATCACAAGAACTTCTTTCCACGGCCATAACAAAGTACATTTGGTTACACACATAGTCTCGTCACTGACAGTCACTGTAGACGGGTGTCGTGCAGGAGAACTCTGCGTGAATTAATTAGCCATTTACTGTAGGTTTGATAGGCCAGCCTGGATTGCTCTTGTTGCAACCAGGCATCCACACGTGATATTTCCACGGGGATAACAAAACCTAGGTTAACACACTTAGTCTCGTGTCGATCACGGTCACTGTAGACGGGTGTCGCAGGAGAACTCTGTAAACGTGAATTAATTAACCATTTACTGTAGGTTTGATAGGCCAGCCTGGATTGCTCTTGTTACAACCAGGCATCCACACGTGATATTTCCACGGGATAACAACCCAGGTTAACACGCTTAGTCTCTGTCTCGACGACGGTCTACAGGACGGAGTGGTGTGAGGACTCTGTGTGGTGTGGTGTCCCGCCCCCTTTCAGGAGGGAGAGTCAAGACGACGTCTTAACTAAGCCATGGCTCAGGGGATACTACTTAAAATGAGGTTTTTGGGTGTGAAGCGATGAACAGTACAACACTGTTTCACTGCCCACCCCTCCCTAAAGGCTAGCTAACATACCGAATTGAAAATACATGTCCCAGTTATGCCTCGCCGGGCGTCTTATCTTTAGTAAAACAAACTTTGAGTTGGTTGCGTGGGTAAGCCTAACGCAACCCATGACAATATATATATATTAAGGATACTCCCACGGGGGGTGCCGGGCCTTTCGTTGATGACATTGATGAAGCAACTAAATTTTTTAGCTTATTAGCAATGCAAAAATTTTCCTTTTACCAGACATGGCAATATCTACTTAAGTTAGAGCAAGTTTCTCTATGTGTTAAGCATCTCAACCGCAGCTGGTGAATTATGTGATATAAGTCTGGTTTTTCTGATATTTTGGGCAATATTAGTTTTCTTTTGTACAAACGTGGCAAGAACGATGTCTCATGGTTTTCTGGATGACCTGATGTTGGCTGATATTGCAGACTTAAGAAGCTACTGTACAAAAAATCTTCCTCGCGTCGTGAAACAACCGCAGTATTGACACCTGAAACCCACTTACCAAATTACTTATCTATCATTTTCTCAAGATTATTAAAAATGTTCAGAGTTCTTTTTAGCCACTTTTTTTAAGATGAATGTCTCACCTTCCTGTAGAAGCCTGGATATTGACAGGCATTCCAGAATTAAGAAGATACAAAAGAAGTATGAACTCGCTTCAAACAAGTTCTCGGCTAGCCTAATGTGGTGTTTATTTTATGAGAGCTTGCAGGCATTTATCCATTTATCACAAGCTTTCTTGTCTCTGGGAAATCTGTTATACACGAAGTGCTCTCTGCTTGGGATTTGAGCATTGCTGGTGCACCCATATATTGCACAAATAATCATAATTGTTGATACACTTGTCCGGGAGCAGACATTGCTCCGTTGTAAGGAATGGCCACTTTAAGACAATTTGCTCTCTTCAAGAAAATTAACCACTTCTAGAACAGTGAGGACCTTAAACGTTTCCGCTGTGGAAGAACACCTGGTTGTACATGCTGTTTATGCTGTCTCGGTCATAAGGCTCACGATCGACGTTTGGCAGTTTGCTCATCTCGATATCATTTGGTTTGACGATGAACTGCCCTTTAACCATTTGACCCTGTGAAGCAGTGTTTTCAGACGCGGTGAAAGGCCCCGCTTGACTTGGGGGTGGTGTCCAGCGTTCGGAGTACAAGCATGGTGGGTTTCTAGAATTAATGTTCTTATCATAGCTCTTATTGAAATGTCTGAAGGGCCGTAAGAGGCGCAGTAGCAGCAGGAAGATAGCAACCACAAACAGTGTTAGTAGCACAAGTAATGCCAGCCCTCCTATCCACCACAGATTTTGCTCTGAAAATTACATATTATTATTATTATTATTATTATTATTATTATTATTATTATTATTATTATTATTATTATTATTATTATTATTATTATTATTATTATTATTATTATTATTATTATTATTATTATTATTATTATTATTATTATTATTATTATTATTATTATTATTATTATTATTATTATTATTATTATTTTTTATTATTGTTATTATTATTATTTTTATTATTATTATTATTATTATTATTATTATTATTATTATTATTATTATTATTATTATTATTATTCGCAAAAAATCATTTATATATTCACGAGAGTCAAGGTCATAAAAGAGATGGTTTATGAAAGCAGTGAGGTTAGGTTTCTGAGAACAACACACCTCAAAATGTATAAACACATACGAACCTTGAAGAAAGGTCTTGGTGACAGTTCCGGGTATGGCTGTGGTTACCTGTGCGGCTGCGGGTTCGGGTGCGGCTGCAGGTGAATGTACGGATATTATAACGGTGTCTTCGAGAAAAAAAGGAGAATTATTACTATTTAGGGGTTTACTGAAGACAGGGGATTTTGGGAAGTGTTTACATAACTGAGGTAATTGTATGCTGGGAGAGGAAATGAAATAGTTAGCATAATTATTTGTAAATTAATCTGTGTCAGATTTGTCATTGCTTATAGTTGAGTAGTTGATAGTTTTAATATAAATTATCTGCATTTAACTGTTTGAAAGAAGTGGCATGAATTGTTTGCAGCTGAGTGGGTAACATATTCAACATTAAAGGCCTGCAGTTCAATAAATGCCAGATATGTAGGTACCGTACAGTTGCTCCCAAAATTATGTTTACTATTTTGTGTAAGACAATGTGACATAGCGGTCGAAGGATTTTGACATCCCTACATACCGAGACAAGAGGAGTCACTGTGTTCATTTTGAAATTCACTGGACGAGTTACGACTTGAAAAAGTCTTAGAAACAGCTTGGTGCTACTATAGTAAAGCGGGCTACCATTAACCTAACCTAATCTAACCTAACCTAGGTTAGGTTAGGTTAGGTTAAAATATATTAGACTAAGTTAGGCTAGGTTAGGTTGGTTAATAGACGCTAAAGTGTAAATGTCCCGGTAGATCAACTCCAACTCGGTAGACCTCTTACTATAGTAGCACCAACAGTTTACTGTACTATTTAAAGCCATACTTAAAGGGCTACTTGGATACTATAAAACATGCCAAAAAATAATTAAAGGTGAATAGTTGAAAGACTTTCAGGTGAAGTTTAAAGTCAAATTTGACAGTTTAGTAACATAATTCAGACAGGGGGGACGAGGGACCATAATAACGGCAACCTCACCACTTCTAACCTAATCTAGAGTAATTTAACCAAACTTAACCAATTTTAATCTTACCCAACTTAACGACACCAAAGCAAATCTAATAAAAAATAGCTATAACTAACCAGGCCTAACCTAACCTAACCTACACTAACTTAACTTAATTTAAACGAAATTAACTTAATCCAATCTAAGTTAACCAAATCTAGTCTAAATTACCCTAACTTAATCAAATGTAATGTAACCTAATCAACATCGAACCTAAGTTCATGAGTGAGGGTTCCCTTCATTATTCAGTGTTGGGTTCGTGTATTCTTTCCTCTGTTGGTCTTCTGTATTTCTAAGTTAAGTTTATTTTTACAAAGATTGAGTCAGGTATGTTTGTAATAACTTGTTATGTAATTAATCTCTCAGTGAATTTACAATTATTTTGTGTAAGTGATTTAAGATGTGTGTTATTTTGTATTTTGTGTACACTATTTGCCTCAGTGTGTTTTTATGTTATAATTGAAGGGCAGAGATCTGATCTGGATGTGATTTTGCTTTATGTTTATTCTTTGGTGTTTCACTTTAGTAAAGTAATTTTGGTGAACGTGGGTTCACTTGGTCAGAGTGGGGTAACGTGGGCGTAATATAACCAATCCTAACCTAATCTACCCAAATCTAGCTTAGGCTTAGTATAGAGTGTGTTATATCTACACTGTCCCTAATGGGCAGCGATGGTTATGTAGTCCACTTTCATAGAGATAGCGATATCTACAATTAGCATTTGGCTAAGTTGAATGGATGGGATTAAATAAAACCCTAGGTCTGGACATAAATTCTCATGTTATTACCGGATGTGATTTATTTCTGTCATGGATATTTAGACCAACATTGGGCATACGCCCAGGTAGGACACATGTCCTACTTGCTTCTAGGAGACACGTCCTGTTTCTTTGAGAGGTGTTTCCTCAGATGTTATTACATTACACCATTCCCCAGGATGCGACCCACAACAGCCGTTTTACAATTAGGTTCCTACTCATTGCTAGGTGAACAGAGGCAGAGTGTGCAAAGATACCTGCCTAGTTTCTCGTCCTGCCCGGGGATCGAACCCGAGATCATTTGGTTGTGAGCCGACTGCGCTACCATCGTGCTACAGGGTATGTTAGGTTAGGCTGTATGTCTGAAGCAGGTTAGTTAGGTCATGCAAATTAGGGCAAATTAGGATAGGTTATAATTATTAGGTGTTGATTTTCTTAGGTTAAGAATGTCTAAGGCTAGATTAGATTAGAATTTCGCTAGAATAAGCAAAGGTTAAGTTAGGTTAGTTTAGGGATAGCTTAAGTGTACTGAGGTTGTATTACGATAAGTTTAGTTTTACCTATATTAAGGGTAAGTTAGTTTGTGTTATAGGCAGATTAAGTAAGGCTATGTAAAATACTCGACAGCATTCACTTTCATAATCTTTGTAGCCTTTTACGGCTCAGTGGACTGGCAGTGCCCTGGGATTGAACAAGCTACCACTCGGATAGGAGATTATTACTGTATCCTCGTGGCCACTGCAAACCCCCCCGCTATCTCTATGGTTTGCCGTCAATTCGCCCACAAGTCCATTTGCCCACACTTTGTCAATTTCCATTCATGTTTATTCATGTACAGTACTTGATAATAATGTAATATATACAAATTAAGTGTCAGGTAGTTTATTCGGTGACTTTCAAATATATATATATATTTTTATAAAATACACAAACTAAAAAGGTTTAAAATGTCAATCATAGAAGTAACAGAGTGAATTTAGGATGTTTGGTCACATATCAGCTGCTGACTGGTCCATTGAGATGGGCGCAAGCTCTCAGAAATTGGCAAGCTGACCTCTCGTTCAGGTTAAACTATGAAGAAATTGAATTGTACTGAAATTACATTGTACAAAACGTCCGGATTAAAGTGTTACTCACCTTCAGTCCTGGTGCTCTCCGCGGCGGGAATAATCATGTCAGATACTGGCATGATACTGTCGGTGCACTAATTGCAACTCCAGTCCGATACTCAGCTCGAGATACACCAGTATCACATTTCCTGTGCTGCCACTTCCCACCCGTCGCTCTGCAGACCTTCTTGCCGTGCCCGTACAGGCACATTGCATTGAATGCAAAAATCTTGACAGTCAGCTATCTTACCATTGACGAACTAAATCCGCTGGACTTAAACAATTACGAAACCTACAGACGATATTTTCATAGTTTCGAAAACTTTATTGAAGTTCAGTTCTTAACATTAATACATTACTAAACCTAAATAAAAGAGGTAACAAGACAGGTGTGGGCGAACCACCTCGATAGTGTGGGTGAATCAACTTTAAATGTAGGTAAAATGGCTTGTGGGCGAACCAACTCCATGGTGTGGGCGAAATGCATTGTGGGCGAAATGACCGGATTCTATCTCTATGACCCCGATAAACTTGTTGAACCCGTCACGACTTAAGGGCTATCTATGTTAAAGTGTCAAACTCTTATAAACACCTCATGAGGGAGATAGTCTCCCTCGAGGAAAAATCTCCTTGTTCTTTGCGAAAACATCACGGAAGGCACAAAAATCGATGCTGTGAAAATAATCACATCCAGAAGCTGAAATATGCGATAGGGTGTGTCATGCAGAACCGAATTTTTTTTTGAGTTTGAAAATCGGCCCATGGTATTAATGATGTAGTTCTAGTGAAGTCATGTGATATCTTCAGATTTGAAAGGTTTTCCAATTTTTGCTGATGAAATTTTAACTTGAAATCTTGTAATTCAACATTCACGCCCTTTTACTTAGCTTACCCATAAGCCAGCATTTAAGAGTAAAGTAAATGTATCAGTTAATTTATTAGGATGAAAAATGATTCAAGACCAGTAAGAGCAGAATGATCTTGACATTTATTAATTTAATGTTGCTTTAGAAAGAAACCGTCATCAAATACTGAAAACCGGTTTTACTACTACGACCGTGTTGCTGCACCTGCATGAAGAACATGTCTTTCTTGCTTCTGTTTCTCATCACCTCCCTGCTGACCACACAGGCTCCGGATGTAGCCTCCCTCCTCCTGGCTGTACACGTGACTGCTGGCCTCGCTCCTTGCTGTACACAGCTCTATACTCTGGGTGACTGGGGGCCAGGCAGAGGGACATCCACATGGGGTTGTCCAGAAGCTCTGACTTGAACATTGGTGAGGCTGCAGCAGGTAGAGGGGGCTCACTGCCAGCCTGGATGTTATCAGATCTATGAGATCAGTGAGGTCTTGGCACCTAGATTGACTTCCAGGAGTCTTCCTGACCTGAGAGGAATCAATCACCAACTGATTCGTCATGCCCAAGATCCTCTCATAAGTCTCATATCCAAGATCTTTTGACTGCTGCCACTCTTCTGCCCTCCTCCTCATCCACTGCGAGCATTGTCTGCCAGAACTGCCTCCGAGGATGAGCATGCCAGAAGATCTCCTCACAGTCTGCTCCACAATCTGTTTCTTCCTCGCCAGCTAACTCCTCAGGAGCTCAAGCTGGAAGAGAACATGCCTCGGACAGCCGGGAGGAAGCGATGACTTGACAGTGTTGAACCAATTTGGCAAGTGAACTTACTCACGATGAATTGGACAATATGTCTCAGGTTGTGAAGCTGGTTCCTTTCAGTTTATGATTGAGCGACCCAAATTCTGCAGAACCTGAGCCGTTGTCAACCACCTAGAATGTGAGACTGGACTATCTCTGCAGGTAGCAAGTCTATCAGGCATGACCCCAGTTTTGATGGCACTGCAAATCATGTAACCGTAGTACTGGTCAGTACTCAGGTCGTCAATGACAGTATGTGCAAGCTCAGCAGGTGGAGACCAACTGTGATTTTTCAAAGCTCGGATTTATTTCTAACTCAGTGGCAGGTCAGCATCTTGCCAGAGGACCAGACCATCTGTTGTTTCAAGAATCTTGTATCCAGCTCACCAGATCAGATGTCTGAGTGGCAACTCGTTGGTGTGGGGGAATTTCAAACAATCCAGACCAGCCCTCCCAATCTTCCGCTCTATCCACTGTAGCATTCCCGCCGCCCCTTACCCACCCTGTGTTCGTGTTGGTGCTGTCCCCTCCAATGGCCTGCAGGGTCTGGTCTACGTTCCTCTCTCTGGGCCAGTTCACAATGTTATCTGCACTATCTCCAGCTGGTTTCCTGATGTCATCTTTCTCCTGGGAGTAATGCCACAAATACTTCCCTCCTGGTTCACTGCAGCAGGTAGTGTTCCTCCTTCACCATGGCAGGGAACAACTTGTCAGAATCTCCAGCTTTCTGAACTTGCTGAGTGTCATCCTTCTCCCCATCAAAACAAACAATTGTTCCATTTTCTCTTATCCTTATCCAAACTCCTCTTCTGGGTTGCTGACAAGTTTTCTCCTGAGCTCTCCTTGCTTTGTTATGATCTATCACCAGGTGAACATCATCAGGTGTTTATCAAACCACCGTCAATCAGGCAGCTGTTGCTATCTCTGCAGTTTCTCTGAGACCAGTGTGGTGTCGCATGCTGGCCAGAGCTATGCTCAGATATCTTTCCTATTTCGAATCTTATGCCTGGAAGGTTTTGGAAGGATCATTATTTTCTGGGTTGGGACAAAAGTCACCATTCTCCTGGTCAGCACTCGGATCAGCATGGGGAATCATTAAACTCTGAATCAGCTTGACTCCAATCCTCATCGGCCTTTTTACCTCTTCCCTGGGCCTTCTCAGTCTCTTTTCCTCAGCAACTCTTCTCCTCTTCTGTCTCTCTGTGGCAGCCTCTGTCTCTTGGACTCCGGAATATCTTGGCTGAAATCATGAAGAGCCCCTGCTACTTGATCTTCTCTCTCTGTGCTTTTGACAAATGTTCCAGTTCGATCTGAGAATCTTCAGTTCACGCTTGCAAATACAGGAGATGTGGGCCTCAGTTACAGTCACGATCGCATCAAACTCAGGACAGAGAACAATTGGGCACTGCAAATAATTATGTCAAATAACTGGTCAGTTGCTTAGCAAAGCTGTCCTTAACTGCAAGTTTTCCTCTCCCAAGAGATATCTCTTGCCTTTTCCCAACTAGTAGCAGTCTCTCATAATCTTCTTTGACTTGTTATGACTGGAGGCTTAGACGGAGGCGTTAGCCAGAGTGTACTGTGCCAAGACAGCTTTGGTCATATCACTGTAATGTCTTTGTTTGTGTAAGTTCTTTGGTTCTTTTCACTGGTTGCTGATTAAACACCCTTATCTCAAGCATCTCTCAATGAGCAACTCCGACTAGGAGCTCTTAGACCCAAAGATAGTGACTGAGATGGCTGGATTTTTGGTTCCTCGTCCTGACACAGCAGCCATCGCAAATATTAGCCAACTTAAATGCATCAGAATCTGAAACGAGAAAAAATATTGTTAGTTGGGTTGTTAAGAATGAAGTCAAGCAATGTTCACTATTTAATTGTAATGCACTAATGCAGCGCACGTTAGATTTTCGATAAATTTCCGCTAAAATTTACCTAGCAAAAGGTTGCAAAATATTGAAACTGAGGCTATTTTCTGTTTATATACTGTACACTAAAATCTACCAAAAAAGTGATGGGCCATTAGTTTTAGCTGATCTTCCCTCCTATGACACACCCTAATATGCATACACTTATGTAAAATAACACTGCTCTGCATATTTTTGCTTTTAATAAATATAAAAATTATTGGGAAGTTGAGACAAGTGTCGTTGTCAAATTTACTCATCGAAGCGTCATCATTCCCCTATCTCTGTAGAATAAGCTTTCAATATTATGTGAAGGAAAAAATATTTGTGATACTTACCTAAACTATGACTGAATGTCACCTGTGTTATATTCAACTTCCAAACAAACTCAAGCGGTCGACCAAGTTTAGGTAGCTGGATCCACAAGGACCTCTTAATTTTAGTATCCTCGTCTTCCCTGAAGCCTACAATTAACACGAGTGACAAATCATCGTTACCACGAACGAGGGAACGTAGCTCAACAATGCTATACCCATGATCCTGAAGCCCTATGTCACAATTTACCAAATAATTTTTAGAACAAACTACAGACAGATATTTTCTTGGGACATATCTCAAAGGTACAATTGTTGTCACTGGCGTTGATGAAGCCTTCAATCGGTGAATGAGCGTTGGTTTGTAGGAACCCGAGCGGATCCAAACCCTCATCATCTGATAATTTCTGGTTTCCACATTCTGAAAAAGTTTGGGAGAGTTGTGAGATACAGTTAAAGTTAACAGGCAAAAACGGGAAGAACTATAGCGTAAAGAGAAGAGTGAGAATTAGAGGTAATCTTATATATATATATATATATATATATATATATATATATATATATATATATATATATATATATATATATATATATATATATATATATATATATATATATATATATATATATATATATATATATATATATATATATCAATATAAAGGGAAACAGAGGTACTCAAGAGAGAGGTAGAGTGGATTAGAGATAGTTTTAAGACATATTGGGCATGACTAGAAGAAGATTCGTAATATATGAGCAACAACACTGCGTTAATTACACACACACACTCACACACACACACACATGTAGGTTATGTATATATATGCCTTTTGTGCCGAGTAGCAACCTTGTAAATAAGCTACTGTGCCAAGTAGTATTTATATATATAATTATGTGGCAACACTGCACGTGTTATGTGGCAACATTACCCCGAGGCTGCCATATGGCAAGGCAGTCTCAGTCTGATTCTGTGGGCCGTGCATGGCACACGCAAGTCACCACTTGTATTTCTCCTATCCGAATAAATGGACTTCAGTGTTTCCCGGTGTTTCCCTACCCATCACTGCATTCTTCAGGGAACACCTGGAACCTTCATGGCGCAATGAGTAGGATCTGTGGACTTACAAGTGTGTGAACAATGGACAGTTAGCCGGCGATGTGCGACTGCCGGCGATGTGCGACTGCCGGCGATGTGCACGTGACTCTTAGTGTGTGCTGTGTTGTGTTGCGTTGTGTTTCGCTGCGACGTGCAGCATTGCTCCATCACAGTGCGTCTTAGTGACGGTGGCAGTGTTAGTGTCAGTGTATCAGTGTGTCTAGAGCTGAGAGATGAGCATTGGCCTCTTTTTTGTGGTACCCACTGAGCACGCAGGCGTACACCCTTCTCGTGTGACATCCGGGGAGACACTGACAGTCTTGCCTCCGCCAGCCACCACGCTCTGCTCTCTGAGACACAGTCACACACACACACACACACACACACACAAACGCACGCACGCACTCACGGACAGAACAGTGGACTCTATGCATTATTTCTGCGCTGTTTATGTCATATATATGTGGTTCGAGCTGATGAGGCGCCACTTTATATACTAAATAGCACAGTTCAAGCATAGTAAGATGGGCGGTAAGAAGGGACAACGTCAAGATGGGAGACACGACCCCCCACAATCTTCTCCTCTACCGGGCACAGATGGAACTTCTGCGCCCACCGCCCCTCATCCTTCACCTACAGCGACGGACATTGCAACAATTCTGAGGTGGATGGATCACAGGGGCCAGAGACGCAGAGAGATGGAACTTCAGAGGAAGGAGACACGAAGAGAGGAGGAAATGGCGCATTTTGATGCAATATTGGCGACCCTGGCGCTAACCCACCCTCCCTCACTCGCGCACCAAGGCGCCAGTACCCTCCCTCCTCCACCACACCAGCGTCCTCCAGGTACTCTTGCTACTCCAACAGCTCCCAAGGCATCTGTTCAACCCCCACCCGCCCTCTCACCAGACGTCACGTTTCAGCTTTTTCGTGAGTGGAGGCGGCGTTGGACAGATTACTCCACGATGGTGGACCTTGACAGCATGCCTCCAAACAAACAGCTCATCCAACTGCGGATGTGTTTGTCGCTGGAGACCCAGAGAGTTCTGGAGCACACGTTGCAAGTGCCTCCCGATTCTACCTCTTCAGTGACGGATGTGCTCGACCTTTTGCAGGAGCACGTTAAGGGTCGGAATAACGAGGCTTTGCGTCGCCGCGCCTTCACCAGCTGCAAGCAGGCGGAGAATGAATCCTTTGACAACTTTTTTGTACGCTTGAAGAGTTTGTCGGAGGAGCTCGACGTCTGCAAGGTGCGCAGCCAGGAATGTGAGGAAGCCTGGATCAAGCACGGGATCTTGACAGGTGTCAGACAAGAAGAGTTGGTGCAGTGACTCATTCCCCTGGACGCTTCCTCCACACTCCAGGTGGTAGTGACTGAATGTCGGTCATACGAGGTCACCAAGTCCGCCATCTCTGCCTTACGGGCCCCACCTGCTGTGAGAGCAATCTCTCAGTACAAGAAGGGTAAGAAGGCGGCCAACAATGTGAAGACTGCCGCACGTTCTTCCACGCCTCCGTCTAGTGCTTCCTGTGGCAGCTGTGGAAAGCAGCATGGCCCCAAGACATGCCCAGCCGCCGACGCACTGTGTCGTGGATGTGACCGTAAAGGCCACTGGTCTAACACAGACACGTGCCCTGCACGAGGCCGCAAGTGTTATGCCTGCGGTCGCTATGGACACTACGACAAGTGCTGCCGCCAACCCAAGCCCAAAAGCCCGAGACAAGGAGGAAAGCAGCGCACTTCCCTCAGGGTGGTTCGCACACAGCCCCCTTCAGATGGCCCACGCAGCCCCAAGCAGCAGCTAAGTCACATCAGAAGGGTGGACTCGACCACACGCCCCAGGGCTACCCCTTCCCCTACCATCCGCGTCGCCGTCACACACGGTGATGTGTCGGGTCACATCGAGGTGATACCGGACACCGGCGCTGATACTACGGTGATAAGCCTGAAGCACCTCCAGAAACTGGGCCTCACCAAACGTGGCCTGGGACCACCACCGCAGCTGCAGTACTACAATGCGGACGGTTCCTAGATGCCGGACGCTGTGGGCTCCTTTCAAGCGGATGGATCGACGTGCAGCCTACTCTCGCTACACCCTTGTTGTCGTGGGAGCACTGCAAGGAGTTAGGCGTGGTGCCCAGAGACTTTCCCGAGCAGATCCCAGCTGCTCGGTACACCGCCAACAGGGTGCATGAGTCAACGAGCGAAGTGCCTGGAACTGCCGCACAGAGCTTCCCAGAACCCGCGTCCACTCCTGCCCCGCCTCCACCCAAGTCATGGCTGCTTCCTCTTTGCAGTGAGACGTCTCCTTCAGCCGTAAGGGCCTACTTCCTGAAGGAGTACTCGGATGTGCTGGTGACGAAGGAGGCCCTATGGACCGCGCCACTGAAGGCTATGGCGGGTCCGCCTATGAGGATACACCTGCGGGAAGATGCACAGCCGTTTGCCTACACACTCCCAGGTTGGTTCCTCTCACCTTCAGGGATTCAGTCAAGAAGGAACTGGATTCCATGGTGGCTCAGGGTATCCTCGTACCCGTTGGTGACGACCCGTCCCCTTGGTGCCACCCTCTAGTCGCTGTGGCTAAGACTAACGGTGGAGTGTGGATTACTACCGACTTGTCTAAGCTTAACAGCCAGGTGTCCCATCCCGCCCACCCTTCACCCACACCTTTTGCAGCTATGCGGAGTGTGGACCCGAAGGTACGGCACTTCTCGACAATGGACGCCCTCTGTGGTTACTGACAGATCCCACTGAAGAAGGAGGATTAGCCACTGACCACTTTCATCACACCTTATGGACGCTTCCGCTACTGCCGTGGCCCTATGGGATTCGCTGCTACGGGGGACGCCTTCTGTCTCCGTGGTGACATGGCACTTCAAGGCGTGACCAACTGCGTGAAGGTAGTGGATGACGTCCTCCTCTACGATGAGGACCACCTGACGCATCTTCGCCGCATCGACGAGGTACTGACCAGGTGTAGGACGCACGGCATCACTCTCAATGCCGAGAAGTTCGTCTTGGCCGCACCTGCAGTGTCTTTCTGCGGCTACCGACTCTCAAGGGATGGCATTGCTGCGGACCCAGAGAAAGTTCGCGCCATAGCGGACTTTGCAAAACCTGCCAACCTTACGGATCTCAGGTCTTTCATGGGCCTGGTGAACCAGCTGGCAGAATTTTCTCCTGACGTCTCCGCCGCTGCCGGGCCTCTTCGCCCCCTGATGAGCCCCAAGAGGACTTTCACGTGGACCCCTGACCACGACCTCGCCTTTCATAAGGTGAAGGAGGCCCTGTCAAGTCCACCTATCCTCGCTACTCTCGACCCAGCGCTCCCCACCGTCCTCCAGACAGACGCCTCGCGCCTGTACAGGGTTGGTTACGCCCTTCTCCAGGATCACGGTGGAGGAAGGTACCGGCTCGTACAGTGTGGCTCTCGCTTTCTCACCGATGCTGAGTCATGCTATGCTACCATCGAGCTGGAGCTGCTGGCAGTGGTATGGGCCTTATCGAAGTGCAAATTTTACTTGATTGGCCTACAGCACTTCGACCTCATGACAGACCACAGGCCCTTGGTCCCCATTCTTAATCACTATACGCTGGACGCCATCGAGAATCTCCGCCTCCAGCGCCTGAAGGAGAAGATTTTGGCCTTCGTCTTCACCGCGGCTTGGTGCGCAGGTAAGAAGTTGTGCATCCCGGATGCCCTTTCCTGCTCCCCAGTCAGCCGCCCTACATCAGAAGACGAGATGCTCAGCACCGAGGCCGGTTTCTCCGTCAGCAACATCGTCACTTTGCAGGCCGTACAGTCCCTCGCCAGCACCCAGGCCTCAGTGTCGCCACCCGACAGCGATCTGGCCCTTGAGGAACTACGGACTGCGGCACGCGACGACCCCTCCTACACTCAGCTCTTGGAGAGTGTGAGGGCTGGGTTCCCTCGTGGCCGTTTTGACCTCCACAACGCCCTACGCCCGTATTGGAAGATACGTGAGGACCTCTACGCAGATGGGGACCTCGTCCTCTACGGTGCCCGTGTGGTCGTCCCTGCAGCTCTCTGTCGTCGCGTTCTGGCCCGCTTACACGACAGCCATCGTGGAGCAGAGGCCACCAAGCGCCGCGCAAGGCAGGCTGTGTACTGGCCCGGCATTGACGCGGATATCGTCAATACGGTCCGTGCCTGTGAGCCGTGCCAGATCATGCAGCCTAGTCAACAGCAGGAGCCCCTCTTGTGCGACGACGAACCCACCAGGCCCTTCGAGTCCGTGTCGGCTGATTTCTTCAGCACAGCTGGGAAACATTTCCTAATTGTCGCCGACCGACTCTCTGGCTGGCCTGTGGTGGTAATCTGTGGCTCGGACACGACGTCCGCGGCCACCATTCGCCACTTCCGGCACCTCTTTCGTGACCTGGGCGTCCCCGTACGTCTGCGAACGCACGGTGGGCCACAGTTACCAGCCGGGACTTCACATGATTCCTGGAGCGTTGGGGAGTCCGCCACATCGTGTCAACACCCCACTACCCACAGTCAAACGGCCATGCTGAGGCTGCGGTCAAGACAGTTAAGCACCTAATCCTCAAGGTGGCCCCTTCAGGCAACATAGACTGTGAGGCGTTTGACAAAGGACTCCTGGAGTTACGTAATACTCCCACCCACACAGGGCGCTCCCCTGCCCAGATCCTGTATGGTCACCCTCTCCGCCCTTGCGTTCCTGCACACGCCAAGGCCTTTGCGAAGGAGTCGCAGACCAGAGCCGAGAGCTGCGACTGCCGCGCCGCTTCACGCGCCCAGGACACCAAGGCTCGGTATGACGACCGTGCCCGCCCTCTTCAGCCACTGGAGATTGGTGCCCTTGTCCGCGTCCAGGACCCGACGACGACACGTTGGGACAAGGTGGGCATAGTGATGGGCGTCGGCCGGTCGCGGGACTACAAGGTCAGGATGCCGAGCGGCCGTGTCTGGTGGAGGAACCGCCGCTTCCTCCGGCCAGTCCCACCCCCTGCTGCTGGCCCCCTGACCGAGGACGAGTCCCCTACACCTCACGAGGATCCGCCCCACAGTGCACCTCGACGCTCGGAGCGACTTAGGACTAAGAAGTCCGCTCAAGACAAAGACTATGAGCGTGAGGGGGGGGGAGGGAGATGTAGGTTATGTATCTATGCTACTGTGCCAAGTAGCAACTTTGTAAATAAGCTACTGTGCCGAGTAGCATTTATGTATATAATTACGTGGCAACACTGCACGTGTTATGTGGCAACATTGCCCCGAGGCTGCCATATGGCAAGGCAGTCTCAGTCTGACTCTGTGGGCCGTGCATGGCATACGCAAGTCACCACTTGTATTTCTCCTATCCGAATAAATGGACTTCAGTGTTACCCAGTTTTTCCCTACCCATCACTGCATTCTTCATGGAACACTTGGAACCTTCAACACATACACACACACACACACGCACACACACACACAGATATATTACATGTATAAGAATAAATGCTGAATAGCGACAACTTCACTCTCTCTCTTTGACAGGTACTTTAACGGGCACTCTTCACTGGATTTGATTTGCTGTGTATCGCCCGCAAGGCAATGGGGCCCACCGCTTTTTTGTGAAGTCGAGCACACTAGAATAACCCGTTACAACAGTTCGTTCTTTCCCCATACTGCCAAATTGTGGAATGTTTTGCCTTCTTCTGTGTTTTCATCCCCTTATAGTACAACAATGTCTCGCTTCAAAAACAAGCCGAGGTTCAGGGTTTGATTCCCGACTAGTGAGGTACTGTTTGCATATGGAAGTCCACGTGCTATATAGACTGACGATTATATATATATATATATATATATATATATATATATATATATATATATATATATATATATATATATATATATATATATATATATATATATATATATATATATATATATATATATATATATATATATATATATATATATATATATATATATATATATATATATAAGTAAATCACTGTAGGTGCAAAGGGTGAGTACAGCCTGTACTCACCCCTGAAGATGTGAATTACACGAAAGCGCTTGGGGAACGTGTTTTCTTCTTTCCTTGTGGTTATCATATATATATATATATATATATATATATATATATATATATATATATATATATATATATATATATTTATATATATATATATATATATATATATATATATATATATATATATATATATATATATATATATATATATATATATATATATATATATATATATATATATATATATATATATATATATATATATATATATATATATATATATATATATATATATATATATATTACAGCAAAGCAAAACTTACTTTCATCAGCAGGCGTCATTCCATGATCGGTGTTACCAACAGTCAACAAAAGAGAAACAGCAACAACAGCAAGTGCAAGACAGGTTCTAGGAAAGGTAGCTGTCATGTTCGTAAGAAGTTACTGAACCTGCATCCAGCAACACGTGTGACGGAGTTCTGGCGGCCTTCTAACGCTGGCGGGATCCCGGTTCAGTCCTCTCTTGTCACTTCCTGTGTGCGCTCCGGTGTGCGCGCGTGTGTGTGTTAGTAAGAACGTACATTCACCAACAAAATTCCTGTCGCCTCTTCCGCTGTTTACTAACCTCGAAATTTAGACTTGTGAACTAGAAGCTGTAGACACATGCATTATTCAGTTCACGGCTGCTTTGGATTCATGAAACTGAATCTCAGGGTTCCTTGTACGGCAGAAGAGGCGACAGGGCATTTTGTTGGCGACTGTGTACAATACGTGCATGTATATGTGTGTTTGTGCATGTTATTGTTTGAGTGCTTGTGTTTATGTGGGGGGGGGTGAGGGGGCATCAAAGCTAACATCACTAAAACCTGCAAGAAGACCCTCGGCCAGATGAAAAGAAAACACCAGGATTGGTTTGATGAAAACGACCTGGAAATCGAAGTACTCGTCACTAAACAACGTGCTGATTTCGCTGATTGACAGAACAACACTAAGTCTCGGACCAAAGCTGGTACCTCCCGCAAGAAGAAAGCGGCGTTGCAGCGCGAACTTCCCAAACTAATGAACGAATGATTGAAAAATATAACGTGTGAAATGCAAAATTTGCGGATCAACACAATATGCGTGTATTTTTCAATTCCACTAAAACAAAATAGGGCCAAACTACCCATGGTGAGGCCCCCCACCGCACATCCGACGGTAATTCCCTTATCAAAGTCGGAGAAGGCATCCATCAGCGCTGGAAAAAGCACTACCATTCGCTCTTTAACAAAAACACTGATGTGGATGTCCTGACTACCCAGCAGGTTCCTCAGCAGCCAGAGCTGACACAACTCAGCTATCCTCCATCCCGTGATGAGGTAGCTACTGCCATCAAGCAGATGAAAAATAACGAAATCCAGAAAGCCTGATGGAATCCCAGCCGAGGTGTATGAAGCAGGAGGACCTCTGTTTACCAGCCATCTCTACTCTCTCCTGGAGAATATATGGGAGAAGGAAGGAATCCCCCAAGAACTTAAAGACGCCTCGATCGTCAATGTTTATAAGAACAAGGGAGACTACCACGGGATCTCGTTGACGTCTGTAGCTGGCAAGATTATCGCCTGAATCTTCCTAAATAGACTTCTTCCTAAGGTGGAAACTTCCTCCCAGAATCCTAATGAAACTTTAGGGTTTAGACCATCAAATGGCCCTGCTGACATAATCTTTGCTGCCAGCCAGATAGAGGAAAAGTGCAGAGAACAGTGTCGTCACGTGTACATGCCATTCATTGACCTTACTAAGGCCTTCGACTTAGCCATTCGTTATGGCTGCCCCCTAAAATTCATTGCCATTGTAAGGCAACTCCACGATGGCATGAATGGTAGTGTTCTACACAAAGGCACCCAATCTTAATTCTTCCCCATCCAAACCTGGGTAAAACAAGGATTTGTACTGTCACCAACTCTCTTTTCCATTTTCTTAGCATACCTTCCTTACTCATGCCCGTGCCAATTTAGCCGGCAAGGTGGACATCCAGTACAGGTTGAAGGGACTTTTCAACAGTTGTGTTCTGACCTCACTAGGGGAAAGGTCACGGCAGGGTTAGCTCCGGTCTTGGGTATGAGAGTTTGTTGACCAAACTGGGGTGGTCCATTGAAGAATTGGCAAGGGCCAAGTTAGAAATTGAGAGGGCCACGTTGGAGAACCTGAAATTAAGGAAAGAGCTGGCGAAGTTAAAAAAAGAGACTGGACGAGTAAAGCCAGTGTCTGACGAAAAATCAAGCGAGTGGAAAATTGTGAGTAATGGGAAGACAAAGCTGGTGGTGAAGAAGCACACGAAGGATACGACAACAACGACAACAACAGCTAAGTGTACCATCCCGTTCAGTCCCTTGATAGACGAATTGGACGTTAGTACAGTCAGGGGCAGGGATGACAAGGAAGGTATAAAAACTTTAATTGTTGGTGACTCACAGGTAAGGTACATGGACAGGGCCTTTTGTGGTAAAAACAAAAATAGGATGAGGGTGTGTTTGCCAGGAGCTGGGGTGGGGGATATAATTGACAGGATGGACAATATCTTGTCTGGTAATGGGAACAAACCCATTATCTGCCTCAGTGCAGGAGGCAATGATATTGGCCGGTGTAGGAGCGAGGAACTTCTTGATAAGTTCAAGGCAGCCATAGATCGTATTAGGACTAAGGGAGGGATCCCTATCATATGCTGTGTCCTGCCTAGAAGGGGAGTTGGCAGTGAATGGTTGTCAAGGGCAGTTGGTGTCAACGACCGTCTTGACAGATATTGCAAGTCAATATCAGTCCCATTCATTGACAACTGGGACAACTTCTATGGCAGAAGGGACCTTTATGCTAGGGATGGGGTGCACCTGTCAAGGGATGGAGTAGCAACCCTGGCTGGGGCTCTAGAGGGGGCAGTTCAAAAGATATCGAAGTCTTCAAACTGCTAAGAGAACATATAGGCACGGGGGTGGAGGAGACTGCAGTGGGAGCGGGTAAACAAGGCGAAAGATTACAGGGAAATAGTGTTAGGAATGATGACAAAACTAAATTAGACAGGGAGTTTAAAACTAAACGCGGTAAGGGGAGGATTCAGAACACGACTAACTTAAATGTATACTATGCGAACAGTAGAAGTATGAGAAACAAAATGGATGATATTAGGGCCTTGGTATGTACCGAAGAAATCGATATAATTGCATTCACTGAAACATGGATCAACCTAGACACACGTGAATTACCAGTCGAATACCAAATTGCGGGTTACAAACTGTTCCATACCGATAGGCAGACCAGGAAAGGAGGCGGAGTAGCAATGTATGTTCGGGATAATCTGAAGTGTGAAATAAATAAGGAAATAAAAACTGAGAGGAATACAGAAACAATTTGGATAGAATTAAGCGACGGTCGGGAAAAATTAATCACAGGAGTAATATATAGACCCCCCCAATCTTGATAGCATCAATGAGCGACTTATCTGGGATGAAATGCGCAGGGCTTCCATACACAACAAAGTCTATATAGTAGGCGACTTTAACCTTGGCCAAATAGATTGGACTGACCATACGGTCAACTCAGAATCAGAGGATTTTCTCGAGACGATCCAGGACTATTTCCTAAGTCAACATATAACCAAACCCACACGGGGTAATAATATACTGGATTTAGTTCTGTCGAACAGAGAAAACCTCATTAGCAATGTCGAGGTAGGGAACAAACTTGCAAACAGAGATCACAAAGAAATTCGATTCCAGTTAGATTTTCAGGGCAGACGTAAGGAAAATTCCACTAAAGTAACAGATTTCAGAAGGGCAAACTTTGACAGTTTAAAGAGGCAGCTGAGAGAGGGTGTGTCGCGCTTGGCCGTGAACCTGACATATGACACCGACCTGATAACGAGATCTGAGATTGCCGAGTTCCACGACAATTTAAATAGTGAGTTACTTAATGCACAAAGGCAGAACATACCATACAAAAAACTCAGATCAGACAACAATGACCCTAAATGGATAAATAATTATTTAAAGAACATCATTGGCCAAAGGAAGGCTATAGGTAGAAGGATAAATCGTGGCGAAATTCACCTCCGGGACTATTATAGGGTATTGGCGAGTAGGGTTAAAACCGAGATAAGGAAAGCAAAGAGGAATAATGAGGTAAGGCTAGCAAGGGAGGCGAAGACAAACCCCAAAGGATTCTACCAAATGTATCAAACTAAAACATGAGAAAAGATTGGACCAATACGGTCAGACTCCAGCGAGCTCACTGATAACGACGGAGAAATGAGCAATAATTTGAATAAATATTTTTCAACAGTTTTCACCACCGAAAATTTAAACATGATACCCGAGGCACCGACTCCATTCAGAGATAGTGAAGAAAACAAATTAAGTGAGATACTAGTGACTAGTAACGATGTTAGTAAGCAAATAGACAAATTAAAGCCTAATAAGTCACCTGGTCCCTATGAGATATTTGCCAGAGTATTAAAGGAATGTAAGGAAGAGCTTAGTATGCCCTTAGCAAAGTTGTTTAACATGTCCTTAAAAACAGGTGTAGTACAAGAATCCTAGAGGATAGCGAATGTAATACCGATTTTCAAGAAGGGGGATAGATCACTATCCTCTAACTACCGCCCAATCAGTCTAACATCAATAGTAGGCAAATTACTGGAAGCAATCATTTCAAACTCTATTCGAAATCACCTGGAGAAGCAACGATTGATCAATGATTCCCAGCATGGCTTCACAAGCGGACGTTCTTGCCTAACTAATCTATTAACATTCTTTTCATCAGTTTTCGAATCGGTGGACGAGGGGCACAATTATGATGTGGTATATCTCGACTTTGGCAAAGCCTTCGACAGAGTCCCCACGAAAGACTAATTAGAAAGGTAGAAGCTCATGGCATCAAAGGTGACATCCTTAAATGGATTAGGGCGTGGTTACAGGACAGGAAACAGCGAGTGAGCATTAACGGCACTAAGTCCCATTGGAGCAATGTCACAAGTGGAGTTCCCCAAGGCTCAGTACTTGGACCATTATTGTTTATTATAAACATAAACGACATAGATATCGGCATAGACAGCAACATAAGTAAATTTGCTGATGACACTAAAATAGGACGTGTTATCAAATCTGACGAGGACTCGGCAAAACTACAGGGAGATCTAAACAAATTTTTCGAATGGTCTAAAAAATGGCAGATGAAATTCAACGTCAACAAATGTAAAGTACTCAGTATAGGAGATGTAAACAGGGAAACGAGATACCAGATGAACAACGATGCCATAGAGAAATCCGACTGCGAGAGAGATTTAGGAGTAATGATAAGTATGAACCTTAAGCCAAGTAAACAATGTGTTTTTGCTCGTAACAAGGCTAATAAAGTACTTGGGTTCATACAAAGGAGTGTTAGTTACAAGACTAGCGAGGTCATCCTAAAACTGTATCTTGCTCTTGTGAGACCACACCTGGAT